TGTACTTGCATTGGCATAGGGCATGACTGAAAATGAGAGAAAAGAGCTGCAAAACCCCTATGACCCATTGAACCTTGGAATCTAGAGAGTCTGACTCTCGGACAGTTGGGAGTCGTGAAAAATGAAATGGAAAGCATAAGGATAACTATTTGAGGCGTGAGTGAGGTGAACTGGACTCGCATTGTTTTGGGAATCAGGCAGTCACGTGGTTTCCTATGCCAGGAATGCCATGTTCAAGAGGAATGGGGTCACACTCATAGTGAAAAAGATATTTCAAGATTTATCTTGAAGTATGGTGCTCTCGTGTTAAGATCTATCCCCAGGCAAGAAATGCCCGCAATACAGTTATTATTCAAATGGATAAATCAACCTCTAAATGTCTTGATGAAGACGTTAAAGAATTCCGTGTGGTCAGACTGAAATTGATGAAACATCTATTATGGATCGACCATTATTTGGATTAGAATACAACAGATGGAAAGAAGAAGGAACAGGCCTTTGAGAAACATGGCATGATGACAGAAATGAAGCTGGAGACCTCATGACAGAACTTTGGAAGGTGAATGGCATCTTCATTGCAAATACCTTCTTTCAACACAAAGCGGCTAAACACATGGAGTTTTCCAATGGGATATACAGAAATCCAGTTGACTGTAGTTTGAGAGGAAATGATGGAGAAGCTGAACCCAATCATGGGTTATACTCTGGAAGAGAAGATCATCAATTGCTCATATGTAAATTCAGATTGAAGCTAAAGAAAACCAAAACACATCCAGAGCCGTCAAAACACAAGTTGAGTGTATCCCACCTCGATGTTAAGAACAAGTTAAGAACAGGCTTGACGGATTCAACATCGATGACAGAGACCTGACAAGCTGTGCGATGCCATCAAGAACATCACACATGAAGAAAACAAGACCATTAACGCAACAGGAGGAAAAGATCAAGCTGGATGTCAGAAGAGACTCAATTCTGCTCATTGTTCATCCTATAGCAGCTAAAACAAATGGAAGAAATTGTAACGTCAAAGATCTGAGCAGAAACGTTAAAAGGGCAACTGGAACAGACAAAATATTACAGTGAAATGTGCAAAGGCCTAGAATTACAAAACCGAAAAGAACACATGCAACGTATCTGAAGGTGAGAGAAACTCACATGGCAATAGGGAAAGATTCGATGGACAAAATGTTGAACCATATAGAGAGCATCAAAAGACGAGAATAAACATGGTCCGTATAAGGGAAAGAAGTAGTGGATATCCAACCATCTCAAGAGGTAGCACATGATCAAGAACCAGTGGTATAACGAATGTACAAATGTGCCTTATACAATTGATGGATGTATGGATTGTGATAAGAGTTGTATGAGCCCCCAATAAAATGATTTAAAACAATTTAAAAATTTTTAAAAATGTCCTGAGTTTCGGATTGTGTATTAAATAAACTTTGATCCATCTCAAAAAAAAAATGGGTTGTGGCCATACAGTGACAAAGATTTGCCAGAAATTCAGGCCGGGTTCAGAAGGGAATATAAACATGAATGTTGATGTCCTATGAACCGTGACAGAAAGCAGAGAATACCAGAAAGATGTTTCCTTGTGTTTTAGTACTATGCAAAGGCATCTGTCTGTGCAGACCATAACAAATTATGGATAACCTTGAGAAGAATGGGGATACTATAACATTTAATTGTGCTCATAGGGTACCTGTACATAGATCAGGAAACAAATGATAGTAACCAAACAAGGGAATCGTGCAAGTTTTAAACCAGCTAAGGTGTGAACCTGGTTTGTATCTTCTCACTGTACTTAATGTGTATGCTGAGGAAACAAGCAGAGAATCTGGATTATACGAAAAAGAATACAGCACCAGACTTGGAGAAAGGTTTGTTAACAAGCTGTCATACAGAGGACAACTCTTGCTTGCTAAAATGTGGAGGCCGGGCAATGAATGTACAAATGCGCTTTACACAATTGATGTATGTATGGATTGTGATAAGAGTTATATGAGCCCCTAATAAAATGATTTTT